TTTTTGGGGGGGGGAACCACCAGAGATCCTTCAAGTGAGTGAAGGAGATCCAGAAGGCATCCATCCAGCTGATGGATGCTGCTGGGGATTGGGCTGGCGGAGAAAGAGAGGTGGGAAGAAGAAGGGAAACAGCCTGAACCTTTATTTATTTGGTGGCCACGGGGAGCCACCCAGAGCCCCCCCCTCCCTTGGCCACCCGAGGCCAGCAGCCCCGAAGAAGCCAGCCATTTCCTTCGGGTTTATTTCATGGGGCGACTTGCTTTTGGCAACGACAGGTTAACGGCACTGAGTTGGCGATTCCTAGAAAGGAAGGGGAGCTGGCCGAGGGGGGGCCCGCGATCTTCCGAGCAAGTAAAGGTCCTTTTTTTTTTAAAAAAAAAGTCCATTCCTGTTGCCTCTCCTCCCCGTTTTCTCTGCCCCCCCCTTTTTTTTTGTTCCTCGGGTGGGAAGCGAGGATCCTTGCGGAGCTCGGCCCGGGGGGGGGTCCCCCGGGGTCTGGGCGGTGATGGTGAGTCTTCCCTGCCGGGGCTGGAGGGGAAGAGGCGAAGATCTTGGGGTGGGGGGGACACGCCTATAGGGAGGAGGGAAAGCACCCACCCCCCCAAATTCAGCCAGGCAGAGGGGCAAGGCACCCTCCCTGTCAAATGGGGTTGGGTGGGCACAAGAGGGCAGAGGGCATGAAGGGACCACCGATCGTTAATCCTTTTAATTGATTGCAAGAGTCATTTATAGATGGAAATATGATTTATTTATTTATTTTTATTTCTTTTATTTTATTTTATTTTATTCGATTTATATCCCGTCTATCTGGTCTTGCGGCTGATTTAATTTATTTATTTATTTTAATTTTATTTATTTTATTTTATTTTATTCGATTTATATCCCGTCTATCTGGTCTTGCGGCCACTCAGCATGATTGCTCTGTCTGGGTCATTAGTACTAACTTTACCATCTCTCAGACTGGTATTCTTTCCTTTTAAGCAGTGGCATACTTATTGTTTTAGCTTTCAGATGGTCTTTTAAGGATGTCAGCTCTTTATATGTATTTATTTTTTCTTTATTTAAAATATTTCTCTCCCCCCGCCCCCCGTCTTTCTCCTTTAAAAAGGACCCAAAGCAGCTTCCAAGGACGAAAGACAGTGTATTTAAAGGCGAAAGGCGAAATCCATGAGTAAGCAAGCGTGGCAAATGTCCTTAAAAGACAATATTTTAAACTACCTACAATGAATCAGGAGGCCTCTTGCATCAATAACAGGCAATATGAAGGCAGAGGTCAGTAAGTATACAACTGACATTGAAAAATGTCACTCCGAGAAAAGGAAAACAAAGCTGGAAAACACAAGGAATTCTCAAAATCTAGTCACATCAGTAATGCCTAACAATCCATCTAAAATTTGCACACAGATAGCTGGTTAATGGTTTGTTATACTCCTTTTTCTTAGCTTTAAATATTGTCTTTTATGGTGTAATCCACCTGCTCATTGTTTTCAGCTTTAAATATTGTCTTTCAAGGTCATAAGCTGCCTTGGGTCCTTTTTAAGGAGAAAAGCAGAGTAAAAATATTTGAAATAAATAAAATCAATTGGCTTATTTTCTGTTCTTACTGCTAGAGAGAAAGATAAGTGCTTCTTTCCCTGGGGTTTTCTGTTTCTTTAGTTGCCTGGATGCTCAGACTGAGTTTATGGCCCAAGATGTTTTGATGCAGGCTTTTAACAAAGTGGATGGTACTTGTGGTAGTATTCGGAGTTAATATTGTTGTTATGCAGGGCCAATTAAGAAGAAGGAATAAGGAGATTTAAAAAGATTTAAAAATCGGGAAAAGAAAATGTAAATGTAACCAGAAAAGAACATCTCATGTTCATGTATTTACTCATACATGAGTAAATATGTTCTTAATGTGGTATTTCTTAATGTGGTATTTCAGAAAGAAATGAGTAATCTCATTTCATTCTGAAATACCACATTAACCTACCGTAACTTAATGTGGTATTTCAGAATGTTAAGAACTTAACTAAAGTATTACAAATACTTTTGAAAGTATTGCATTTTTTTAAACTGACGTTTTAAAATTAAGTCACATCTGTGTAAGTATCTTAATAGACTAAAGTGCGAGCAAAAAAAATCATACTAGCATACTGCGCTTCTATAATGTCAATATAGAATATACATTGCCTTCTGAGGTGCTCTCCTCTCGTCCTTTGTTTCTTGCTCAGACTATCTTTTCTGGCTGTTATTTATATCCTTTACCAATATTTATCTTGGTCTTCAATGCCAACAGTGTCATTTTGCTAGATTGGTAAATTACAGTGCTCTATAAACAGGATATTTTTCATAGAAGGCTTCCAAGTTGCTACTATGGCAGATAATAGCTTTGATTTTGTCTATAAATTTTTACACATGCTGGATTATTGCAAGAGTAAATTACAGGTTTAGTAATTTGGCACATCAGTAAATGCCACCTACTGGTCATGTTAACACATTGCAGCATTTAACTTAATACAAGCCAATTATTTCAATAATTATTATTTTACCCAGGCTTCGTGCCCTGGAGAGGACACTCATACAGAGCACGTTACCATAGTCTCTCGAGACTGAAGGAGGCCTAACCTAAATTTCAATAATCTTTCACTACTATTACCCACGCAGTACATCTTGACAGCTCCGTGGCGGTCAGTTGAAGGAACCCTCCAAAGGATATCACTTCTTTTCCATCCTTGAAATTTTTTGTTTTGACATTACGAACAAGACCCGTCTTCCACATTTTGTCTTTTTCGCGCATGTTTCAATCATTGTTAACAGGGGGCATCTTGGCTTTGCAGAGATTTAGTGGAAGGGCCATTGGCCCTGAGAGAGAAGACGGAGAGGCTCTCCCAAATTGTTTGCTGGAGCACAAGTGTGGGATGGATGAGAAAGACATTCTTGGCCTGGAGGCAGGAAGTGGTCCTGATGCCAACAAGACTGGGAGTCGTGGAGAATTCTGGGAAGAAACAGTGAAAAAGATGATGGATGAAGACATTAACAGTTCTTATGTACAGCAACAGTGCTTCAGGAACTTATCCTACAAGGAGACGGCGGGGCCCCGAGAGGCTTGCACCCGTCTCCATCATCTTTGTCGCGAGTGGCTTCAACCAGAAAAGCACACCAAGGCTCAGATTCTGGACTTGGTGATCCTGGAGCAGTTGCTGGCCATCCTTCCCCCGGAGATGTCCAGCTGGGTGAGGGAATGTGGAGCGGAGACCAGTTCCCAGGCGGTGGCCCTGGCCGAAGGCTTCCTCCTGAGTCAGGCCAAGGAGAAGAGGCAGGAATGGCAAAAGGTGAGAGCATTTTCTCCTGGTGAGTCTAACACAGAGGTGAGCAGCCCATTGACCCCTGTGCCCCCCTTTTCTTAGCCCACCAGCCTCTTGTGACACGCCCCCCCCAGCCAATGGCAATTTTTTGGGTATTTCCCCGAAACTGATGCTCCTTGTTTCTGTTAATAGCAAGATAGCACTGGACATATTTGCCTTTCATGCTTTCTTTGTCCTTTGTTTTGGAAAAAAAAAGTCAGATTTTTATTGTTGCTTTGGCCACATGACTAAAATTAGCATGGTGGTGGCAGCTGTATTAGCCGATCAGGACTTCCAGCAGAGCCAGTGCACCACCACCCTCAAGCCCAGAATTTCCTGTTCCTTTCTTCGTGAGATCAAGAATGTAAGAGAGGAGATCCTTATTTGTTGTAATTTACTTCCTGTCCCAATTTTTCTCCCAAGATTTTCTGTCTGGGTCTTTTCTGTTCTAATCCTTCTCCTCATGGCATGTCTTGGACCCCCCCCCCCAAACGGCTATTTCAGGTTAAAAATCTGTCTGCAGAAATTCAGTCTGAGACTTTTCTGGTAGAGGAAATTTCATCGGACCACAGACAGAATCTCCTGCAAGAAAAGAGCAAACAGGCTGGTGACAGAGATGCCACTTTCCAGGGTAAGAACTGATCTTAGGTAGGAGTGTGCATTTCAGTTTGAGCTCATGTTCTGAAGTATGCATGCAGTCATTGGACTGCTGTGGGGCAATGGGGGTGGGAGAGTTGGTTAGCTCCACCCTTTCCAAGGGACATGTCAGGGGCAGTACCTGGTTGTCTCTAATTAAAGAGTCTCTGCTACTTTGTCTCATTGTGCATGAACCATGCACACCCTGTACAGTGGTGTCTCGCATTATGAGCACTCCATTTTATGATGAAATTGCTTTACGTTGCAGGTTTTGCGATCACAAAACGATGTTTCCTATGGGGGAATTTCGCTTTGCGATGATCGGTTCCCTGCTTCGGGAACCGAATCTCACAAAGCGATGATTTTTGGCCAGCTGATCGGCGGTTTCAAAATGGCCACTGGGTGAAAAACATGGCTCTCCGCTCTTTTCTGGGATGGATTCCTCGCTGTATAGGCAGCGAAAATGGCAGTGCTGTGGAGGATCTTCGCTGGACGGTGAGTTTGAAGCCCCTAGGAATGCATTAGTTGGGTTTTAATGCGTTTCTATGGGCTTTTTAATTTCGCATTACGACATTTTCGTTCTACAGCGATTTCGCTGGAACGAATTAATGTCGTAATGCGAGGCACCACTGTACTGGGGAATTTTGGTTAAAAGGGTTTTTTTCCTAGGAATTTGGTTATTCCTTTAGTTAGCAGAGTATAAGGCAGGAAAAAAACACACAGATACCTGGAGAGATCTCACTAAACACCCTTGCTCCACCTCCAACAAGGTGTGTTCCAATTGGTTTGTTCAGCATCAGCTGACATCAGTTCCATAAGACTCGTGATTGGAAGAAGATAAGTCTCCGGACTTTAGGAAACTAAGCCTTGTGATTGAAGGAAGCCTGTTTACAGAAACAATGTATGTGCCACTTTCTTCTCTTCTCAGCTATCTCAGCTTACTTCTGTGTAAAAGACACTCCTCCATTTTTTGTATAATTATTTTAGGAAAAAGTAGCATATTATACACGGAAAAAATAAGGTAACAACCTAGTTACTGGCAAAGAACAATCACATTAGGCTGTTAAGCCCCCTATCAGTGATACCCACAGTTGGTGCTTCCAAAATTGCTATGGTCCCCACACCTTGAAATCAAAGTAGCGACTCTTTAATTAGTGGTCATCTGCCAATGGTCTAATTCCTGTTGTGCAGGCAGAGATACGTGTTAGAACTTGGTCAACATTTTCTAATGATGAACACTTGAAGGCTTTTATATGTGGAAACCACCTTCTGACACCACAAGGTATCAGGGGAAGACACCCAAATAAATCAGAGAAAAAAAATATAAATGTTTGAAATAGAAATAAAGCAGAGAGCATATCTTATGTGACTGTCGGCCACTGAAAGGTCTCTTAGTAATCTGGTTCAGCCTGAATTTTACTCGCCCCAATCCAGGTTTCCTAACACACACTAAGCAATACTATCCAGTGCATTTTTCTAAGATGTAAAGCCTGTTTTGTTCTAAGGGCTTCCTTTCTAATCAGTGTTTTTAGGATTCTGATCATCATCTCTGAGACATGTTGATACCCTGACTTCCTACCATTTTCCCCCTACAGGGGATGGAATGATGTTGGCAACCTGGAGCGACTCCTCTTTTCTTTGTGAAAAGGTGGAATTAGAGGAGATCAAGGTGAGAATCCTGGGTAGAGTGGAAGATTTTTTTTTAAGTTTATGTGCAAAAGAGAGAGAGAGATTTATCTATCCAGACTGACACATTAGTCCATGCATATATGGCTTTGAGTGCTTAGTCTGGGGTCGGATCCTATGTACCCGTTCATGTTAGTCCTGATTTAGGATTATAAATTAGATTTTTTTTTCTTGACTGGCCCCTCGTCCTCAAATTCCACACAGCAGGAAGGTATAACGGGGTTCTATGCTGAGCAGCCCCTCTTGCACAACAGAGCGACTGCTTTGTCTAGGGTCGTATTTGAAGAATTTACCAGGATCCTATTCACATGAGAAGGTCTTGAAGTTAAAAACATTAAATGGGGGGAAGGCAGAAATTATTATTTTTCCCCCACCCCTCTTGTTGTTCCTAATAAGTCGCATACCTTGGAAGTGACTTGATGCCGGTAGTAACTTAATCTCCCATTAAGGTTCTGTGAATTCTTCCCAAGTTCGACTACTAATGAAATCTAAGCCCTCCAATTTTCTTGATTATGCTCGCTTATACATCTTCTCTATCTTTCTTGATTACGTTAGAAAGCAGTCTTCCTGTTAACTTCTTTTTCATCCAGAGTCCAATGACCTTTGAGGAGGTGGCCGTGTATTTCACCCAGGAGGAGTGGGCGCTGCTGGATCCGGACCAGAGGGCCCTCCACCAGGAGGTCATGGAGGAGAACTTTGGGGTCGTGACCTCTCTTGGTGAGGTTCCCTGTTCCTCTTTCTGAAGATCTCTCTCTAGAAATGGAGTGATATTGCAGTCCACACAGACTCTTGAAGGGCCCTTAAAGGGACTTGGGGAAACTGTTCTCTTCTAATTTGTTTCCCTTTAGAGGCCAGGGACCCAAACTGGTATTTGAAAGGCTGGGTTACTTCAAGCCTTATCCCTCTGATAATTCAGGCTATTATCCTGTGAATAGAAAACTCTCTGTTGTTGTACCTGTGAATAGTACTAATTAAACAGAATAGTGTTGATTTCCTACTATGTTCTATACTTTAATAATGACTCTATCAGGGGTATGGGCTCCTTGTCGACCCCACTAGATACTATACTACACAATAAAATGTGTTATTATAAATGTTATTATAAGCTTTCATCTGTATTTTAAAAGGATAGAACATGAGTTTAAAAAAATCTACACAGTATCTCCTCTTATTTTTCACAATGTAGTTTTAGTTTCAGGGTCTTCCTATTTCATTTAGACTTTTCCATCCTTCTGCTTTAGTAGTTTTTCTTTATATTCAGTCCTCTTTGTGCTTGTTCTTCCTCCCTGCAGATAATTGGATGAAAACAAAGGCATGTACCAAGTGTGGAAAGTGTTTTCTGCACAAACTGGACCTTGCCAGGCACCAGAGGACCCACATGGGAGAGGAGAGCAGTACCAGAGAGGAGCCCAAGAAATGCAAGAAGTGTGGCAAATGTATTGTTCTGCACAAAGCACTTAGCTCTAATGCAAGGAACCGCACAACAAAGAAGTGGTGTAGATGTGAAGTTTCTGGAAAATATTTGAGCCACAAGTCACAACTGGCAAACCAAGAGAGAGGCTGCACAAGGGAGAAGCTGTGCGCATGCCAAGAATGTGGGAAGGAGTTTACCAGTAATTCCACTCGTCTAATCCACCAGAGAGTCCACACAGGAGAAAAACCATACAAATGCCAAGAGTGTGGCAAACGTTTTGCTTGGAATTCAGACTTTGCAACTCATCAGAGAGTCCACACAGGAGAGAAACCATACAAATGTCAGGAGTGTGGGAAATGTTTTGTCAGGAATTCAAACCTTTTGATTCATAGGAGAGTCCACACGGGAGAGAGACCATATAAATGCTTTGAGTGTGGGACATGTTTTACTCAGAGTTCACATCTTGTGACTCATCAGAGAGTCCATGCAGGGGAGAAACCATATAAATGTGAGGAGTGTGGGAAATATTTTCGTTATAATTCACAAATTGTGACTCATCAGAGACTCCACAAGGGAGAGAAACCATACAAATGCCAGGAGTGTGGGAAATGTTTTACTTGCAGTTCAGGCCTTTTGACACATCAGAGAGTCCACACAGGAGAGAAACCATACAAGTGCCCACTGTGTGAGAAATGTTTTGCCAGGAACTCAACCCTTTTGATCCACAAGAGAATACACACAGGAGAGAAACCATATGAATGCCAAGAGTGTGGGATGTGTTTTGCTCACAGTTCACACCTTGTGAATCATCGGAGAGTCCACACTGGAGAGAAACCGCACAAATGTCAGGAGTGTGGGAAATGTTTTTCTCTTCCATCACAGCTTTTGAACCATAGTAGAGTCCACACGGGAGAGAAACCATACAAATGTCAGGAGTGTGGAAAATGTTTTGCCAATAATTCACAAGTTGTGACTCATCAGAGAATCCACACAGGCGAGAAACCGTACATATGCCAGACATGTGGGAAAGGTTATACTCGCAGTTCAGGCCTTTTGACACATCAAAAAATCCACACAGGAGAGAAACCATACAAATGCCAGATGTGTGGAAAATGTTATAGCTGTAGCTCAGGCCTTTTGACACACCAGATAGTCCACACAGGAGAGAGACCATACAAATGCCAGGAATGTGGAAAATGTTTTGCTAGGAAATCAAGCCTTCTGATCCATAAGAGAGTCCACACGGGAGAGAAACCCTATAAATGCCAGGAGTGTGGAATATGCTTTGCTCACAGTTCACACCTTGTAACTCATCGGACAGTCCACACAGGAGAGAAACCCTATGAATGCCACCAGTGTGGGAAATGTTTCGCTCGCAGCTCATACCTTGTGATTCATCAGAAAATCCATAAAGGGACTATAGCATAGATACAGAAGGACTTCGGATTTTTTTGTTTGTTTGTTTGTTTTATGTGCTGAGGACAAATATACAAATGCCAGGAGTACAAGCTACGATTTTGTCTCAGTTCACAGCTTGTGAAGCATGGCAGAAGCCACACAAGACAGAAACTGTATAAATGTTGAAGGTGTAGGAAATGTTTTGCTTGCAGTTCTCAAGTTGTGACTCATCGAAGTTTGTGGATGGGAGAGAAACCATACAAATCCTGGAGGGCCAGTATGTTTTGCCTACAGTTTACTAATTGTGACTTTTCACAATGTTTACATAAAGGAGACTCCACAAAAATTCCTGAACCCTGAAATATTTCGCTGAGACATCAAACCTTGGGAAGTGTCAAAAGCTCATTGCTGGGAGGAACATGTAGAGGGTGAAAGGAATATATTTAACTCCTGCTTGAAAATGTACAAGACATCACAGACAGTATAGAGGAAAGAAACCGTACAAATGCCAGGAGAGATGAAAATGTTTGTTTATAATTGACATTTTGTACAGCATCAAGAATTCACCATAGAAATACTGTACCAGGAGTGTGGGAAATGTGTCAATCAGAATCCACAAGTTGTGTCTACATAGCACAGAACTGATACCATGGGAAACGTTGTACTTCTGGCCCTTTGAGGGATCAGAGTCCATAGAAGAGAGTATTCATTGAGGGGTCAGGAGCATGGGAAATGTTACTCTCAGAGAGCCAACCTTGTGTTCCTTCTGAGAACCCTCATAGGAAAGAAACGCAGTGATAGCTTTTCCCTCAGAGAGTAGTTTGGTGAATCTTCAGAGCGCACGTGACAGAAGAGGGCCTAGTCTGAATAGTCCAGCATTCAACTTCCAACACTGAGGAGACAGGGATTTCTCAGAAACTTTACGGTACTAGGCAGGGAAGCACCAGCCTTTCCCATTGGTTTTCTCATGTCTTCTCAGTCGTTGCAAGGTATACTCCTTCTTGATTGTGGTTTAAGTTACCTGTGAGTAATATCCGAGCCTGCTTCGTTTCTGCCGTTTAACTGAAGATTAGCACACTGATTATTAGCCTTGCATTGCTCCCAGTGTGGTAGAGCCTCTAATGCTAAAGATCTATTTGTTAAACAAAATCAGGGAGCTGGACAGGGGACAGATTGGATTTGTCTTCAGTTTGGAAGATATTGTCACACTAGACGCTTTTCCAAGTCCTCCATACAGAGCACGTTACCATAGCCTCTTGAGACTGAAGGATGCCTACATAGAGTAATATCTGAGCCTGCTTCGTTTCTGTCATTTAACTGAAAATTAGCACACTATTAGCCTTGCATTGCTCCCAGTGTGGTAGAGCCTCTAATGCTAAAGATCTATTTGTTTAATAAGTAGGATTCTCTCCCCCCCCCCTCGGTTCTGTATCTCATGCCTCCTGCATCAAGATAAGACATCTTCGTCTCTGGGAATCCATGCAGAACTGTCCCTGAAAGGTAAACGTTCTACACCGTTGTCGCCTAAACAGTTGTAAAATGTTTCAGACACTCCCATTTGCAACTGAGTCATAACAAAGGTCCTTTTAATAACCTTAGAACGGCAGAGGTGGAAAGGACTCTACAGATCATCGAGTCCAGCCCCTCTTGAGGAAGCACAGTGGAGACTCGAACTCCCAACCTCTGGCTCCATAGCCAGAGACTTAAAGCCGCTGAGTTATCCAACTGCTTTTGCCACTGGGGAACATTTTTACATTTCCTGCGAACAAAATATTATTCAGCCAAAATTATATTGGTTTTCTCATGGTTACCTCTTTGTTATTGTAAAGAAATCGCTTAATAGTTCACCTTAGGGATTGGCGATATAATGCATGTCATGCCCCTCTGTTAAAAAATCGCGAAGTAGGAATAACAAAGGGGTTCTCCAACAGGTTTTTTTTTTAAATTTGGGTTGCAACTGAAAAAAGGCACAGAGCACTTTGAGACTCAGAAAGTTCCCAAATGCAAATGGATTGCAAGAACAGACATATTATATAGTCTAACTCTCCTTAACACAGATGTATTTCTGTGTTCTGTCCTCAGAGAGAAAGAGGAATGAACGTTCCTTGGGAAGAAAACAAAGACTTCTGCCCCTGTTTTTTCCTCCTCTATGAAGAGTTTTCCAAAGCAATTTCTTTACAATAACAAAGAGGTTATTTCTCAGAAGCAGAAAAGTTGTGAGCTGCCCATGTGCCGATGAGGGAGTTCCTCTAAGCTAGACGCTCCCAACCTCTTTTCACTTGTGTACTCCTTGTTCACCCATTTCTACAAATTGTACCCTTTCTGTTTGCTTACGTTAAAATAAGTTTGTAATTAATATGGTAGTGGTTATTTCAAATTTATATGTTGTGACTGTAAATAAATGGCCCAGTAATGGAACAAAGAAGCAATGGAATGACAAGGTGAGCAGACGGCGCATATCTTTTTAGATTCAAATCTTAATTTGATACAATGAATTCAAGTAAACGCATCACAGAAGATCCAGAAGACCTCGTTCATTGAATGCTGCTCACAGGATTGGCTGAGGTACCCACTTATACGTATGTGTTGCACCAGTACCAATATATATGCAAAAATGCCACTATAGCGCACATACTCAGTGGTGTCCCCCTCACAGGCTCAGGTTTCATTCTTCTCCACTTCACAAACATTCAAGTGTCATGGAATTTTTAAAGCCTCATTGTTTAGGGAAGGACTAGAGATGGGCACGTACCATGCTTTGGTGCATTTTGATGGATTGGGCGCACAGATGTTCCATGGGCACCCCAGATTCTTTGCATTGCCTCCTCCTGCAGCCGTCCCCTCAGGCTTCCCTGCCTCACCTTCTCTAAGTGGGAGCCCATGGGAGGAGATGGGGCCAGGAGTCCAGGGTGCCTACACAACGCCTGCGGGCCTGGTCCATCAAATTGTGCTGAACCCTGGTTTGTGCCCATCTCTAGGAGGGAACTTCCAACCATTCACCAAAATAACAAAGCAAAAGGAGAGGGCTTTTCTCAAGGCTAAACAATTTAAGAAAAGCCATTCTGTCCCTTGTCATAATGTTCAGTTCAGTTCAGAATTTTTTACTTGTATCTTGTCCTATGCTGTTGACATAGGTGCCTTTTCCGTCATTATTTTATTATTGATTCATTTATGGGTTGTTGTTTTTTTGCTTTCCCCTAAAATGTCCTGGTTCGTACCCCTGAAGATACGTGTGCCCCATGTTGGGAACCGCTATTCTAAACTGAGGGTTTTCCCACCCTTTTCCCCTCCATCCAGTGGGGTGGGAGGAAGACCCACGTTGTCTTGTAATGGAGCTGCCTCTTTCTAAGCCCTGAAGATGCCAAGGAAAGTTGCCATGAGCCACAGAAGAACATCTATTAATCTAATCAAGAGGGTTACAGCATAAAAAGCAATGCAAATAGTCCTGTCTGGCTCTAGGAAGTTAAGGCTTTCCCTAGAGGGGGGACGCCCCACAGCTGTTCTGGGTCTTGATCCTGCTGTTCCAAAGCTGTGGCAAAAATCACCCTCCTACATGGCTAATCGGATTAGTTTTTGTACCAGCTGTTGATACGCTGATTGATAAGACTTTGGCCTCACCAACCCCTGGGACGCAACTCAGCAGAATACGGTTGTCTTGGATTTAGCTGAGGGCCAGCAAAGTGTACTGGGAAGAGTGGGACTCTGGTTTCAAATCCCTGCTTGGCTATGAAAACACACTGCTGTGTTTCCTATGAGAGCGGTTCTTAAGTCAAAATGTTCTTAACTCGAGCCGTTCTTAAGTCAAGACCCCACTGTACGGTTGTCTTGGATTTAGCTGAGAGCCAGCAAAGTGAACTGGGAAGAGTGGGACTCTGGCTTCAAATCCCTGCTTGGCCATGAAAACACACTGCTGTGGGGCAGTAGTAAATCTCTCCTTAAGTACTGTATCTCCCAAATCTTGAAAACCAAATTACAGTCATGACTCCGTTACAAGTTGATGGCACATAGCAAAGATAACAAAGGATCTACCCAGGGCAGTGGAGTGATGGATAGCTTGCCTAGAATGTTTCTCCCCCTATAGAAGGTGATGGATTATTTCCAGATAAATAGTTGCATTAGTCTTGGTTCAGCAGGTTGACCAAATTAAAGCCTGTCTCGGATGTCTTGGATGTAAAATACTGTCTCGGATGCAAAATCCGTCTTCTCAGATGTGTTTGAGGAAAGGTGAATTTGGATCCACAAAAACTCACACTGAAACAAGTCTTGTCAGTTTTTTAAAAAGCCAAAACATGTCCTTGGCTTTCCCCCATCCTTTTTTCTTTCTTTCTTTTCCACCTTTTTGTTTCGTCAACAAACGGTTTGATTATTACAGGGTTACAGTCCACAAACATCTGGAAAACGAAGTGCTTGTTTTCCTAACCTGCCCTCGTGGCTATGTTTTGGAATACCGTCTATATTCCTGAACTATGTACAGTATGTGTTTCTGGTCATCGCAGTTAAATGTCTAAATTGATCAAAGGCCTTCTGTGGTTTTATAAAGTAACCAGACTTTTTGCCACACAAAGAAACAACACAACTTGCATTTTTAGCTTCAGGAAAGAACAAAGCCGACATTGTCTAGGAGCCAACAGATGCTATATGCTAAGAGGAAGGCTGCACCAACTCAGAGGGAAATGATTCCACACACACCCATCAGTTTGGTAGCGGGTGGGAGGCCTGAAAATAGCTGTTCATTCATTAATTGGCTTGTTTCCATATTTCATTGCAAAATTGAGGACCCTGAGAATATTGGACTTGGAGACTGTCCTTGATCTGAGCGTGGGCACGTTTGATTCAGGTATTCAAAGGAGAATCTATGTTTTATGATTGAGGTATTGACATGTAAAAAACACACACCACATAATCATAATGAATAAAGGAAGAGAGGGGGAAGAGAAGAGGATGTGGAATGTGGAAATGATGTCATATTGGGGCGTACAGAGGATCCATTAAGTCTGTATTTACTGGGTC